AGGTTTTGCAACTGCTGTTGTCTCTCTTCTTGTTTCTTTTGCTGTTCTGGTATTTCTGTCATCAAATCTGCTAAGCTGTAGTTTGATTTGCTACCTCTCGTTTCCATCTTCTTCGTTCTTTTTTATTTTATCTTCCGTTTCACTCTATGACACCAATGTGTTACATCTCTGGTCGTTGGTTAATTTTCCATTAAAATTATTTCAAAAAAAAAAAACTTCAGTGATACAAGACCTTTCTTAAATAAAACTATAAAATATAATTTTATATACTATAAAAGCGCGAGTCTAGCAAACGCTCGAGCCTTCAGGAACGTTCGAGATACTCATTACGTGTTACCAGAGTCACGTGACTTGCGCTGTCGTAACAATACCAATACTTCCTTTCTGGAGTAAAGCAAATTAATATTTCGTTTCTAGAGTAAAACATCCTAATATTTTATTATTTTGTTTCCGGAGTAAAGTATGCTAATATTTCGATTCTGGAGTAAAATATGATCATATTTCGTTTCTGGAGTAAAACGTGCTAATATTTCATTTTCCGAGTAAAGCGTGCTTATATTTTGCTTCTAGAGCAAAGTAGACTGCTGTTTCGCTGGAATTACGTTTGGTAATAATTTGTTTCCGGAGTAAAATGTGCTAATATTCCATTCCCGGAGCAAAGTGTGTTAATATTTTGCTTTTGGAGTAGAGCATGCTAGTGTTTTTTTTTTTTAGAGGAAAGTGTGCTAATATTTCATTTATAGAGTAAAAACGTTTTAGTGTTTTGTTTTCAGAGTAAAATATGCTAATATTTCGTTTCCAGAGTAAAGTGTGCTAATAATTCATTGATAGAGTAATGTGTGCTAATCTTTCGTTGTTGGAGAAAAACGTGCTAGTGTTTTGTTTTCAGAGTAAAACTTGCTAATATTTCGTTTATATTTAATTTCTGAAGTAAAGTGTGCTAGTATTTCGTCTCTGGAGTAAAAAAAAGTGCTAATGCTTTGTTTTTAGGGTGCTATTGTTTTGTTTCCTGAGTAAAACGTGCTTATTCTTTCATGTCTTATGCTTTAAACGTCTGAAGTCTTCAACATAAGTGTTAACCAGAAGGTATCTCAAATTGTTCATCTCATATTTGTAACCAATCAAACGTATATCATGACAAACAAATGATGAAATACTGTAGTACTCGCGTAAGAGAAGAAAAATATAATGTTTACTGTAAGTATAATTTTACTAAATATTTTACAATACATTAAAATTCGGGCATCAGAAAACGTGATTTCAACCAGACGAAATGCTCACTTTGTATATTGAAATAAAATCTTTCAGAAAAATTATAAACTAATTGAGCTTTTCAATTTCTGATTGACAAAATCAAAGGACAAAAGTCATAACTATGAAAACAAGACATCATGCATTCACTTCTGAGCTGAAAACACACAAGCAAGTGATCACAATTAAAGTTTAATTGTGTTTGGGAAACTGCCATAAATTCTAAAACATTTCAATGTGTTTATGAATTTTACAATTACTTTACAAACCAAGCAAGCAAACTTTTAGCTTTGATTAACCAGGTCATTGATATCATATCCAAAAAGTTCGAAGTCTAACTTATATTTTTCATACAGAGCAAAAATGTCAGACTTAGAAATCTGAGCGAAGTATTGTTTGACATAATTTGTCGACGAGTCTCCTTCCGTGGTGCGATGCATCCAAGGATTATTTCCAGTAACGTTCATCATTTCCTTCTCAAGTCCTAATCGTTGAGCCAAGTAGATAATGTCTTGGCTGATATTCTCTACTTTTCCTATGAAGTCGTAGTCAATGTTGCATGGTGCGCAGACGTAGTTGGCCGGTTTCCAGTCCCATTCCACGTAAGGCGAATCCTTTACGTCAGCGACGAGCAATGCTTTAATAAAAGCATCAAATGGAACCCATTTATAGTTAGCTAATGCTTCGAGTGTTATATTAGGATTCTGGTAAAAAACCTCCGTCTTAACATCATCGTTCTTACCTCCTGCATGAGTCACTCTGTCCCTGTAAGAGGAGACTAATCTAGCGAAAGGATGACGAACAACCATAAACACAAAGTATCCAGGAAAACCCCTTATGTAGTTTTGGAAAGGCTGAAGAAGGCTGGTATTGGAAGAGAGGGGATGCCAGTTGTTCCCAAGATAATAATCCTTGCGATTTGGGGGGATGATGAATAAGAAGGAAATAACTGTATTACTGGCAGCTTTGTGAATCAGACAAGCCGAGATACCGTAAGGATGGTTCGTTCTGAGACGAATACGTCCTGTTCGTCCTTGTGCCAGAGGGTTATGGTTGCGGAAAACATCAGCATAACTGGAGAAACGACGATACATATTGTGTCTTTGACAAACTTCTTTTATCCTTTCTTTTCGTGCTCTGTATTCGTTCAGTTGTTCCAGCTCTTCGTTGGAGGGAGCTAAAGCCGCACGTGGAGCCTGGCCATAAAAGAAATGCCATCATAACGAAAATATATAAATAAACAGTAGAAATTTCTTTACTAGTTACAAAAGTTCAGTATGACTAAAACAGTGATAAATATTATAGTTAAATGCGCTGAATATCCTTTCTTTAAAACATAACATATCCACAGGAAACGTTTTTGGAAAGGATATGTATCTTAAAATATCGCATATAAACAACACATACCTCACAGAATCTCTTACAGACAATTTACAAACTGTTACATTGTCATAACAATCGGGATAAACACCTTAGTCTTAACTAAGTACGAATATTTCTGTCTCGAAACAATGAGAAAGTAAGAAGACACAGTGAAAAAATGGCAACCAACTTTTGAAGTACTCTTGTCTTCAGTCTTATAAGGCACCTACTGCCCCAAAGTGTAGAACACGTTTTTGGGGCAATGGGCCATAAACCATGAACTCTCGGAATCACGCTAACCACTAGGCCACATCAAGGTTGAAACAGTGTATTGTTATATAATAGGAATCATTTACCCAACTACGAGTCAATTTTTAATCATGGAAGTAATCATGGAAAACAACCCTAAAATGAAATGGGAAAGCTGGTGTAAACCATTGAGTCTATTTGAAGCACTCAAAGACAGAGGTTACTCATTTGAGTGGAAACTTTATTTTACGGTGGTTGTCTGTTGCCCCATGATCCAGTAGAACATTAGGCGAGTTTTTAGAAGTGATTTTATAAGTTAAATATTATAGTAGTCAGAGCCATCTGAAATTATACGAGGTTCCTCCTCCCCTGCTACTAGAAGTAATATAAGTTAAATATTAAAGTAATCAGAACCACATGATTCAGTAGAAAACCATATGAGATTCGTCCCCCACCCCTGCTTCTAGGGGTAGTTATGTAAGTTAAATGTTGAATTAATCTGAACCAACTAATCCAGCAGTAATAAAGCTAGGTTCATTCCCCATCCTGCTTCTTTGGGTAATTATGTATGTTAAATTCATTCATCGAAACCACTTGATCCAGCTGAACATCAGATAGGATTCACCCTCCTTCAGTTTCTAGAGGTAGTTACTTAAGTAACTATTAAAGAGGAAGAAATCATAATTTGGTTTTCAAACAAAGTAAAACATAGATAGTTATGTATAACTTAAAATTAAAGTAAGTGTTTTAGTGTGGTTAAAAGAGTGGTCAATTCGTTCCTATAATTTTAAACTTACCATTGATAAGCTGTAATCTGACTTTTTGGAGCGGTACCAAATAACTCCAATCACAGCTAGACAGCTTAAAAGTAAGAGTTTTGAACATTTCTGTTTCTTTTGGCGCACCATGATTTCGTATTTCTCAGGCTGGCCGGCGGTGTCAACTACAAAGAAAGTTGCCAGTAGTTGTGGATATAGATATAGCCATTTTACGTAATGAAGACCTGAAACCAGCTGGAGCAACAGTCCTGATGTAACAGAACAGGTGATCTTGTCACACAGGTGGTTTCTCCACAGAAAATATTCTATTTTGAGCTCTGCTCTAGCCAAGCAGCTTGAAATCAGAACATGGCAACGTAATACAAAAACGAACCTGGTAGGCTTGTTTCTGGCTTGAAAAACAGCGTTTGCTCGAAACGAATCCAAGGAAATAAGAAATAAAACTAAACATTTTAAAGACGATTTATCTCCAAAAGCCTAACTTATATATTTTATCACCTTCGCATTTTCCTGTATTTTCATTATATATATATATGTGTGTGTGTGTATATATACATATATATATATAGAGAGAGAGACCGGTATTTGTTTGTATATCCGGAACTAATCTGATCTATGTAACTGTAGGATTTAGCATTCTAAACATATCAAACAACACAGTGACAGAGTACACAAATGTAGGTTCTGTTATTGTAAATAAATCAAACAGTACGCTGAAAGAGATCATAAAATGATCTATTACTATAAACATGTATAGAATATTTAAAAGTAAGATCTATTGTTGTAAATAGATCAAACAATACGCTGACAGAGAACATAAATGTATGATCTATTACTATAAACATGTCGCTGATAGAATATTTAAGAGTAAGAACTATTGTTGTAAATAGATCAAACAATACGCAGACATAGTACATAAATGTGTGATTTATTACTATAAATATATCGCTAATAGAATATTTAAAAGTAAGAACTATTGTTGTAAATAGATCAAACAGTACGCTGACATAGTACATAAATGTATGATCTATTACTATAAACATGTCGCTGATAGAATATCTAAAAGTAAGAACTATTGTTGTAAATAGATCAAACAGTACGCTGACATAGTACATAAACGTATGATCTATTACTATAAACAGGTTACGAACATGTGGAAAACATGAATAAAATGGTTAGATATACGAACAATATCAAATTCAAACTGAGAGAATAAAAATGTCCATCGATTAATATTCTCCAGCAAATTTCAATAATGAAAGTTATGGGCATTGAATATAAAATCATGAAAAAAAAGACAAAAATAAATAAAGGTAATAAATATGATCATAGAAAAAGGCTCGAAATAATAAAGTTAAGTGGTATAGCTGGAGAAGAAACAAATATTGCAAAGAAAACGGCTTAAAATACAAAGTTAAGTGGGAGAGCTATGATATAAAGAAATAACGCCTTCACTGAACAAAATTGTCAAACAAATCAAAGTCCGTATTGAGAAAGTATAAATCAGGTACAATGGAAATGGGTTTGCTTGTTTGAAGTTAAGCACAAAGTTACACAATGGGCTATCTGTGCTCTGCCCATCAGGCGTATCGAAACGAGGTTTCTAGCTTTGTAAGTCCACAGACATACCGCTGTGACACTGGGGAGACGCGAGAGAAAGAAGTGGATAAAGTTATCTGTTTTTTTTTTTTTCATTCCAAAGGGGTTATTAGTGCCTAATTTAAAAACCAAACGTTTTTCCAAGCGTTTTCTTTGTGTTACAGTAGAGGGAGTAAATTTGGATCGAAGTGTAGAGATAAAGAGCTAATGAAGTGTCTAACTATGCGTTTAATTACTTCTTTTAAGAAATGTTTAAGTAAACGATCTCCAAAACAGCAACCTGTCTAACCATTGTATATCACACTACAATTTTTACGGATCACACCAATATATCAGGTTTGTCAAATGCACGTGAATTACTGCCGTACGTGAAATCTCTCATGGAGGCCGTATTTGAATGTTATGGTGTTAACATATTGACAGGAGGCGCACATCATTTTGTTACAACAAGATGTATCCGAGCTCTCAGTGGAGTTGGTTTCTGGACGATATTCGCATTCTTATCGTGTCTGTATCAGACAAGTGGACGTTCTTTAAAGATGTGGGCCTTCAGTTAAAGATGTTATGGTGTTAACATATTGACAGGAGGCGCATTTCATTTTGTTACAACAAGATGTATCCGAGCTCTCAGTGGAGTTTGTTTCTGGACGATACTCGAATTCTTATCATGTCTGTATCAGACAAGTGGACGTTCTTTAAAGATGTGAGTCTTCAGTTAAAGTTTTGTTTGACGATCCTTAGTGGTATTAGCATGGTAAGTTAAGATAAGAATTGTTTCAAAAGTTTGCAGACTTAGGTTTTAGGGTGTGTTCTCGGGCTATAGAATTTGTGTGTTAGACTGATTTTTTAAAGGCTTCAGGCACAGTGGTCAATAAAGGAATCTTTCATTTCTTTAGAATTTGACTTGCAACGCACTACAAAGTCTACAATGTCTTAGGAATTGAGAATTTTGAACTGAATGAAGTGCATAGATGGGACGGGAAGACTTACAGCTGAGATGGTATCAGTGGGTTTATAATGGACTAATGTAGGTAAACGTGGATCTAGAATAGAAATGTCTAAAAACGTAAAGTTATTGATAAAAATTGTCCACGTGAAGATAACAGCGATATTTAAGGAAGAAAACATTGTAAAGTTCTTTAATTTATGTAAGGGTGTGTTTTCGCGCCAACAATGTCATCAATATAACTTTGTAAAAATTTGGAAGTGTACTTTGATAGGTGGAAAAAATAAAATTTTCTATGTATCCAACAAGTAATGGCCCATTTTAGTAACAGCGTTTGTTTGTAAAAACTAGCTATTTAAAAAGAACGTGTTCAGGGTCAATACAAGTGCGACAAGACTTAAGAAATTAGAAGTTATAGCCAATTTTAAAGGGCTTTCATACCTTTGTCATGAAGATTCAACTTAATGTCCATGGTAAGCATGCAATGTTCTCTACAAGAAAACCAAAAGTTGGTTTATGGATCTTGGAAAACTATGTAAGAAACCTCGTCATCTTCCATGTTTGGAAAAGTGATTATAAGAGACATTAGAGTCAAGGTGCTGTTTCTTTAGTTTTACTACAAGCTGAGAACTACTGGTTGGTGTACATCATATCATATGTTTAATTAAGTAGTGTTAGACGTATGTTTGATAAGCGTAGCACAGGTTGGAGTTCTTTAGTTTTACTACAAGCTGAAAACTACTGGTTGGTGTATATCATATTGTATGTTTAATTAAGTAGTGTTAGACGTAGTACATAGGTCGGAGTTCTTTAGTTTTACTACAAGCTGAGAACTACTGGTTGGTGTACATCATATCGTATGTTTAATTAAGTAGTGTTAGATGTATGTTTGATAAGCGTAGCACAGGTCGGAGTTCTTTAGTTTTACTACAAGCTGAGAACTACTGGTTGGTGTACATCATATCGTATGTTTAATTAAGTAGTGTTAGACGTATGTTTGATGTGGTACATGGGTCGGAGTTCTTTAGTTTTACTACAAGCTGAAAACTACTGGTTGGTATACATCATACCGTATGTTTAATTAAGTAGTGTTAGACGTATGTTTGATGTAGTACATAGATCGGAGTTCTTTAGTTTTACTACAAGCTGAAAACTACTGGTTGGTGTACATCATATCGTATGTTTAATTAAGTAGTGTTAGACGTATGTTTAATAAGTGTAGCACAGGTCGGAGTTCTTTAGTTTTACTACAAGCTGAGAACTACTGGTTGGTGTACATCATATCGTATGTTTAATTAAGTAGTGTTAGACGTATGTTTGATGTAGTACATAGGTCGGAGTTCTTTAGTTTTACTACAAGCTCAGAACTACTGGTTGGTGTACATCATATCGTATGTTTAATTAAGTAGTGTTAGACGTTATGTTTGACGTAGTACATGGGTCGGAGTTCTTTAGTTTTACTACTAGCTGAAAACTACTGGTTGGTATAGATCTGAGTATCATACCGTATGTTTAAGTACAGTTTTGGTGGCAGGAGTGGCATGTTTGGTTAGTGTGGTGCAAGTTTTTTTCCATGAGGATAGAAATTATACTGTTTCATGCGAAGTTGTGGATAACCTGATTGACAATTCAAACAAAACTATACAACTTGAAGCACAAATGAAAATCAGACTAGGTGAAAATAAACTCTGTACATTTATTCTACTCCAACAGTTTTAAAAACTTTAGTGAAGAGCACATTGTTAACATTCCTGTTTAAAAACCTCTCTCTCCATGACAACAGACCATTTATCAAGGAGAACTGTAACAAGATTTTCTCTTTTATAGCAATAACAATGACCATTTGATCGTAGTTTATGCTATATATAAATAAATATATTTTATGCACCAGATGGAAATATAGTATCAAACAGAAGTTAACAAGAAACTGCTAAATCTTACACAACAATAGTGGGTAAAACATTCAACAATTTTATTTTGAGGAATTATTTATTTCCAAACTTCATTTCAAGGTTCTTATTTTGTTAAGGACGACTACAGACTTTCAAGTTATACACAAATAAAAGTAATAATTGTTTGAACTTATTACATATAACACTTGTTCACCATTTTATGAAAAACAGTTTAACCAAGACCTTGATGGCATAATACCTCTTATAGGTTCCTACTAATAGAAGTATCTTGGAACGAAGGTTTATATTTCATTACTCTCTTATTGGTTAATTATTATACAACATTCAAACATGTACAGGTTTTAGACTATTTTTTTTTATATAGATATGTTCAACCATAATTTGAGAGATTTCATGATTTGTTAAACATAAAAAAAAGGTTTAAACCTGTATAACAGCAAGGCTTTAAATGTACTCTGGATTATCATTAGTAATTATTTAGTTAATGACCTTACAGCAAATGTGTCAGTGCTCTTGGTAATTCCCATAGCAGTAGAGTGAATGAGTTATACAAGTAAGACTTATTGTTTCTGAGGAAGACTGTTTCATGACTGTCACCGAATCAGCTGGGAAGAGCAAGTACTTGTTACCAACAATAATAAACATCTCTCCAAATAATTCACGACTTTCAATGACCCATATCTTTTTTTTTTGCTTCATCTCCTCAAAACTGTACAAAATGGAACTCGTAAAATACTAATTCAGCAAAAACTTTTAAGCCCAAAACATTTCCTATTTTTCTTCATTATTAAATCACTAAGAATAAAAAATATTGATAAAATAATAAACAAATTTAGAGAAAAGTGTTCACATTAATCCCAATGTTCTGATCATACATACAAGTTTTTATCATTAAACGAATAAAACTGATAAAAAAATATCCACTCTTTTCTTAATACTGTTAGGTACTCTGATAGAGTGGCAAAGTTGTATACAAAGTTAATAATTTTTGAAGATTTTTACAAAACCTCCATCATGCATACTACTACCTTGTCTTAAGTAAGAGACATTTTAAAAACTGCCATAATTCCACACAAGTTCTTAACGAAGTAAAAATATCTTTTTTATATTTTCTACAGTCTCTAATGTTATTGAATGTATCAAGAGAGCTACCAAATTCAGAGCTACAAAGTTTAAAGTTTATATCGATACATTATAATACATAGTTGTTAATACAAAATGCAAGAAAACAATGATTCTAATTAAAATTGTGATATTATGGGATACCATAAAAACATGAAATAAATTAGATAAGATCAACATAAATACTTTACCCAGGTTTAAACTAGGAAAAAATTCCAAAATGCCAAAATAGTAATTTTGAATTCAACAAAAATGAACAAATTACAGTTGCTAGGTTAACTTGACCATCACTCTATCTTGTCTGTTTTCTCTGTACATAAACTTTTGGCACGTTGAATTTTTAGAGAATAGTTGACTTTATGGGCTCTGAACCTTGATAAAAAAATATATATATGTACAGTTTATTTATGGACCTAAATTAACACAGTATTTCCTCAATTATTTTTAAGAACCAAATTACAACAATGAAATACTTCCTTCCATTAATTTCAATGAGTTGCTAAGTTCTAATTTCAAAATAACCTTTCATTTTATAATTTGTTCAATTATTTCATAATTTACTTTCTTAAATCTTTTCCCCATAAACTAGTAATTGTGTCAAGAAAACAGCTTATCATAGAAGTACTTACCTACTAATATAGGAAACATTCTGAATCAATAAACACATGCAGACAGATAATAACCATGGCAAAGTACTTACCTACTAATATAGGAAACATTCTATATCAATAAACACATGCAGACAGATAATAACCATGGTAATGTACTTACCTACTAATATAGGAAACATTCTATATCAATAAACACATGCAGACAAATAATAACCATGGTAAAGTACTTACCTACTCATATAGGAAACATTCTAACTCAACAAACACATAATATAATAATAACCATGGTAAAGTACTTAATTCTTCATATATTAACATATTAATTCAATAAAAGTGGTTGCTAAAACAGTAACAGTTCTACAGAAAATAATCTCATCTCTTGTTGTCCAGTTATGTATAACTTAAAGCTGTAGATAATTTGGAAATACACAAATATTATCTATACAAGCTATCAAAACACATTCTAATTAAATGTTGAAACGTAAAACTCAACCATACCTAGAAAACCTGTTATCAAAAACTAAAATGTAGACACCAGGGCACCTTGCCACCAGATGGCCTTGTACAGGATGTAGGTTCGTTTTAATTTGGGTTGATTTCAGTAAGCAACGTAGTTCTGCACCTTTATTCATATCCCCAACCTCTTTAAAGGCAACTGAGAAGGCAATACTCTAAAAAAATAAATATCAAAAGAGTAAAACCCCATTTAACACTACACAGTCTGGTAATTGTGGGACAAAAAAACACAATCAAAACATTCATTTCATTTATAATCTTTAGCAATGTTATGAAACAATATATAGACTTTACACCATACACAATTCTCCTGCAAATCTAAACTTTAGTTACATTCCCTAATAAGACTTCGATTGTAAACATTCTGTAACAAGATTTAGAATGTACACACAGTTCTGCTGTATAAAAACTCTACACCTTGTGTTCAAATCTGAAATTTGGCAACACTTTGTGGAATAAGGAAGTATTATATTTACTCTTGAATTTTAGTTATGCTAAATACTGGTAACATTATGTAACAAAATGCTATGTCACACAGGCATCAGTTTCATATATATCAAAATGTTGACTACACACTAGACTGAGATTCAATGCACATTATATGGAAAATCTTTCAGCTGTCTTCCAAATCACCCACCCCCCCCCACTGTTGATTGTACTCAATCAAGTCATCCATCCTTGTCCAGCATCATTAATTTCCACCACATCAAATTTCCATAAAGAACAACAGTCAGTAATAAACCACACATCCTGACAAAGTTTCCACACACTCCAACATATGTGAATATCAATTGTTAAACCACACATCCTGACAAAGTTTCCATACACACCAACACAGGTGTATGTCAGTTGTTAAAACCACACATCCTGACAAAGTTTCCATACACTCCAACACAGGTGTATGTCAGTTGTTAAAACCACACATCCTGACAAAGTTTCCATACACTCCAACACAGGTGTATGTCAGTTGTTAAAACCACACAT